CTTTTAGTCTATTTGTGTTTTCTGAGATAGCCTTGATGTATGGCAGTGTAATTCTTTTTAGGGTTTGATGTTTTAAATGTTTTAAATAAATAAATCATGACAACACACTTGATTGTTGACTAGTCCAGATCATATAGGACCGTGATGGTGAACCAACATATGGCTCCGCATGCCACCTGTGCCATGCGTGCCATAGGTTGGTTCACCATCACGGTCCTATATGATCTGGACTAGTCAACAATCAAGTGTGTTGTCATGATTTATTTATTTAAAACATTTAAAACATCAAACCCTAAAAAGAATTACACTGCCATACATCAAGGCTATCTCAGAAAACACAAATAGACTAAAAGTCTGTAGAGATTCTCAGTCCTCCAGGTCATGGTTGTCCCAAAGGTGCTTTTTCAGATGGCAACTGGACTTTCTTGGGGCTTTTTTAAAAGACATTTTGCTTCTCATCCAAGAAGCTTCTTCAGCTCTGACAGGATAGTGGAAAATGGAAGGATTTATATTCCTTGTAGACAGATGGACATTTGCATCCTTTTAGAGGATCATTGAGGCCACTGGGAGGTTTATCTGTGTCCTGAGGATCATAGCTATACAATTTGGAGTGAACATTCTTTGAATGGTGTGGGAGTAGGAATGGATTTCCAGGGGGAAACTGCAGACTACAGGAACCAGGCACACTTACTCAGGTGACCCTGAAGACAGAGATAAACCTCCAAGTGCTTTAACGGCCCTCTAAAAGGATGCAAATGACCAGCCGTCTGCAAGGAATATAAATCCTTCCATTCCCCACCATCCTCTCAGAGCAGAGAAAGCTTCTTGCAAGAGAAGCGAAACATCATGAAAAGAAGAAACAAGAAAGTCCAGTTGCCTCCTAAAAAAGCACCGTGGGAACACAAATAGACTACTACAACCACATGGAATCAGCGTAACATACAAGCCAGCTGAAGCCCTTCAAAACATCTTAACCAAACCAAAAGACCCAGCAATCCCAGAAGAAAAAACAGGAGTCATCTACAGCATACAGTGTAAGAATTGCAACAACCACTATGTATGACAAACAGGCAGAAGAGTGGTAGAACGCATCCATGAACAGCAACGGGAAGACAGAAGACATGACGAAAGTTCTTTTAATTTCACAACATGTAGACAGATTTAACCATAGTTTCAATTGGGACAATGTGACCATCCTAGATGAGGCCAAGTTCAAAAATGCCAGGGAATTTCTAGAAGGTTGGTGCTCTGACAAATCATCCAACAACAGACACATAGACATTAACACCATATATAGACTATAGAAAAGGATATAATCAACCAGCCCCAAATAATAATAGACTCTAGCACAGGGATCAGCAACCTGTGGCTCTGGAGCCGCATGTGGCTCTTTCATCCCTCTGCTGTGGCTCCCTGTCGGCAGTCAGCTCCACAATTGATAGGGCTTCCGGTTAGGACAGATAGAGGAAAAAGGATGCAGCACTAGGAGGAGACTCTATGGTGGGGGAACTGGACTTCCGCTCGGCTCCAGAATTGAACGGGGCATCTGTTTAGGACCTTTGTGGCCCTTTGAGTGTTTAAGGTTGCCGATCCCTGATCTAGCACCTCTCTACCAGTAATCAGCACTCAGATCAGCATAGATTAACTGCAAGTTCTTCAGCTCTGGGTCTTCCACTCTCTCTTTCAAAACCTCTGTGCTGAAGAGGCTTCTCGGACGAGAAGCGAAACGTCTTCAAAGAAAAACCAGAAAGTCCAGTTGCTTCTTCAAAAAGCACCTTGACCTGGATGACTGAGAATTTCCATAGACATTAACTCCAAGGTCAACTTCAAACCCAAATCAAATGAGCAATACCCCAATCAAGAAACTGCCAAAGAGCAAACATCCCAACCAGAGAATCCTTAAGACCGCCCACCCCTCAACTACACAGACAGGCAAGACACCAGAATATAAACGGAGAGCAAACAGCACCCCTTACTAGCATTGATCATGTTACCTAGTTAGGGTAATGAAATGTCTTCAAGGAAACAAGCAAGCTCAGAGAGCACCAAGGACCCCTCAAACATATATGTAGCCATCCATTTCATAACCAGTTCTGGGCAACTCCCAATCAAAAGAGCAATAGCAATAGCCCTTAGACTTATATACCTCTTTTACAGCCCTCTCTAAGCAGTTTACAGAGTCAGCCTTATTGCCCCCAACAATCTATTTTACCCACCTCGGAAGGATGGAAGGCTGAGTCAACCTTGATCCGGGGAGATTTGAACTGCCGAAGTGCAGCTAGCAGCCAGCTGAAGTAGCCTGCAGTACTGCACTCTAACCACTGCGCCACCTCGGCTCTTGCTTGCTTATGTATTGATTTTTTTTTTCTTTTCAGAGAAACCGAATTGGCTCGGAAAACCCCAGCGATGTCTTCCGGTTCTTGGTTGAAGAACGGACCCAGTGCTGCCAAACCAGAAAAGTACGGTACACAGAGAGGGTGGAATATCTCATGCAATTGCCTGTAGCAATGGAAGCTGCAATAAACAAAGGTAAAGTGCGTGTACGAATTGTCTGTCGTTCAGATATAATTCAGGCAGGCGTTCCCTTGGAAGTCCCAGCTCAGTCGCATGAATGACTTGCGCTATGAACAATCTGCTACGGATTCAGCAACAAAGTCAGACACTGTCATTTCACGTGATCTACTCTTTGACGCAAAATGTTGTCAGGGGAGCCATTTCTCATGTTCACTGGCCATCAAATTAAGCCACCTGTTGCCGGCCCCTCCAGCAACTGAATCAGATGAGGAGGCATGGGAGTCAGGGTCAGCATCAAGGCAACCTAAGAGCTCTGAGGGGAAAGAGAGAATGGAGCTGTGAGAGAGAGAGAGAGAGGGGGGGGAGGGGAGGATGGGAAGGAGGGAGGGAGGAAGAGAGACAGAGAGAGACAGACAAAGAGAGAGAGACAGACAGACAGACAGACAGAGCGAGCCTGGATTGTCTGTCAGCCTTCAGATGGAGAGTGAACAGCCCCCAGGTCTGGAATTGGCTGATGAGGAAGAGGAGGAACAGCTGGGTCCAGTGCCTGACACATGGATGCCAGAAGGCAGAGGAGAGGAGAGCAATGGAAATCCGTGGGCTGGTCCTTGGGAAGGAACAGCCACCGCTGCTAGCGAAGCCCCACCCTAGCTCTGGAGTTAAAAGGCAGGGGGAAGAGATGAATAAATGTGGCAAACAACTATTCATCTCCCTGCCAGACGGACCTGTTGCTGTGGGGGGAGAGAAACTTTTTGCCCGGGGTGCTTGCTCTCCTAATAAAGGAATCTTTGAGTTAACTTCAGAGGATTTGCCGTGTTTGGGGAGCTGGGTCAGAACACCACCCATGATGTATGGTGTTTCAACAGATGTATGGTGTTTATTCAATATCACTTGTTCTTCCGATTAGATGAACTGATTGCTTATGAACTGAAGAGAAGAGAAGCAGAAACAGCAAGGAAGCCCCCACCAGAGGTGGTCCGGGCAAGGATCCCTTTCAGTGCTTGTCTCCAGGCCTTTACAGAACCAGAAAATGTAGAAGACTTTTGGAGCAGTGCCCTTCAAGCCAAGTCTGCTGGCGTTAAGTGAGTATGTGTCAGGCACAAAAGATCAGGTCCAATTCAACTGATTTATCACTAATTATGCCCATGCGCGGGAATATTGTTCGGTTAGCCCTTGGTTGGAGTTAGGTAATGGTCAGTGAAGGGAGGTTGAACTTAGATCACTCTTGGCTACGTAGGAATTTTAGGCTGATTCCTCTTTGTTTCCTACTCTTTGTGTCTTTTGAGATAGCAAATCCATAAATAGCTCCATTTACTTTCAAAGCTCTGTTAGGACCTTTCGGTTAGTCATTTGTTCTCTAAGTGGTGTAAAAAGTAGTGGCATTACTGTCAGAGTTTGTTGCAGCAGTCGCATCCAGAAAGCACGCACAGGTAACTGATTCAACAGGATTCATTAACTTCTCTTTATATATAATATAACTCATGAAGTAAATATACAATACCAAAAACAGATTTTCCAATGTGGTAGAAAATACAAGTAAACACAGGCAGAGGAGAGAACAGTTTCAGTTTCAGTTCAGAGCAGCAGACTAGCTTAGAGCTCAGCACAGACTCAGAGCTACAGAGCTAAGCCACGCTTAGGCTCCTTGCTGTCTCCAGCAAATACTGTTTCAGTTTCCAAACAGCCCTCATTGGCTGACTTAACTGCTATGCCTATTCATTGGCTAACCTTGTTACCATGTCTCTGCCAAGTCATGAACTCTCATACACACTGACAATTACACATTTTCTGCTTTCTCTTCAGTCTTGTGAGCTTTGGGTCTTTCCTTGGAATGAAGAGAATCTTCTCCTATTTTGCTTTTTCCGGAGAGGATTTCAGTTACTACAAAATATACGCTATAAAATATATACATTTATTAAAACTGATTGTACTCTGACACTTTGTTACTTTGGCTTAGCCATCTGGTAAAAATAAATAAATAAAATAAGGTATCTTACTCTTACCAGATGGTTGGAGAAGCAGTGGGAGAGGGATCTTGCTCTAGTGATGACAGTTTGGGGCAGCAATTCAATTAATAAATGCTAAGTGAAATCCCAGCTGTGCTTATTATCTGACTTCAGCTTTCCTTTTCTTCGCAGACCTGCAACGGTTTTAAATGGGAGGATTGGTCGTAGAGTTACTTTAAAAAAAAATCACCATTGTAATTGCAAGTGGTTGCTAAATGACACAGTTGTTAAATGAGAACTACCTGTGTTTCTTTGCTTTCTGGACATAGCAATAGCAATAGCAGTTAGACTTATATACTGCTTCATAGGGCTTTCAGCCTTCTCTAAGGAGTTTACAGAGTCAGCATATTGCCCCCACAGTCTGGGTCCTCATTTCATCCACCTTGGAAGGATGGAAGGCTGAGTCAACCTTGAGCCGGTGAGATTAGACCCACCGACCTGCAGAACTGCAATCAGCTGAAATAGCCTGCAGTGCTGCATTTAACCACTGCGCCACCTCGGCTTGACATATCTGGTTGGCTGCCATAGAAAAGAATCGTGGAAGGGATGGGCATTTGCGTATGATCTAATAAGAGCAGTTCCGCTGCTCTTATTAAAATCATGAAGTTTCTGATTATGAGTTTGGGATCTTTTAATTTCACATGGAATTGCTTTACACTTCCAGAACGTCTCGCTTTGCTTCCTTTCCTGAATACCTGGTGGTTCAGATAAAGAAGTTTACTTTTGGCCTGGACTGGATCCCTAAGAAGCTTGGTATGTATTTTGATGGCGGCCTTCCCTGTTGAATTGCCTTGGGTTCATTTGTAAGGTTTATCTACTCCAGGGCTGTCCCAAAGGTGCTTTTTCAGGAGGCAGCTGGACTTTCCGCTTCTCAATACAATACAATACAATAC